ACCTTAATAGCCTTTCTGAGCGAACTCAGAGCACTGAGTCCTCTTACATCAGCCATCCACCAGAACAACCCTGGTCCAGTTTGAAATCAACAGGGTTGAGAATTGGCCCATTTCAATCTGGCCCAAGTAGTTTAACCTGTTCTCAGCCAGTACATATCAGAATGCCTCAACCAAATCCCTCCAAAATGGATTGGAGACGAAACAAAAAGTCTTCTTTGGGCATATAGAACCCTAGCAATAACTTGGCATTGCATCATTACTTCCTGACTGGGTAGCTGTACCCGTGGTTACAGTTACAACTGTTTCAGCCTTTGGGATACTGATAACCAAGGCCTTGGGCATGGCTTCCACCCAGCCAAAAAAGCCCAAAGAATCAGTGTCATCGTGCAAAATTGCACTGTAAGCCACCCTCAGGTGTGTGGCTATATAAGGACTCCTTCATTGAGTGCTTAAACCTCAGAAATTCACCCACTTCACCATATATACTACTATATACTTGAAGCCAGCATTTCCAACCATTTCTCTTATCAACCTTAGCATTCCAACCACGAAACAGAGCTCCTCTTTTACTGCTACCTTCAGCCTTAACCTGTAGCCTTTGCCCTTAAAAGATCCCAGCTCCTTATTCCTTTAAAAATTGGCCATTTTCTTACTTTCTGTTGCAGAAGTATTGCTCTAGAAATTGCCCAGGAATACTCAACTCATCCAAAAGACCTTTTTGGACGAACTCCTTGTGATCTATTGTCTAACAAACAATTCACCCTTCCTCAATTCCTCCTTTGGAATTCAGAGTATTGATTAAAACTCAACTCTAGGCCTCTTAACAAGTAACATTGTGAGGTTATAATTTCTTTGATTGTTTAACCAACAATCCCCTTTTTTTGTAAGTTTGAATACACTTTAAACCTTAAAATTCAATATATAATTACTAACAAAAATTATTAGGACAGGAATAGTACTAGAATTTCCTTCTAGTTTCATATCCAGACCATACACTTGTTGAGGGGAGGAACAAAATTGCACCCGGTAAGAATCCTTGTTAGTAGGACAGTGTGCCAGCTTGAAGCATTTCACAGAGCTAGGATGGCCTTTTCTTTTTTGGAGATTAGGGTTGATTCCACTAATTGAGAATTACTCATAGTCTATGTAAATGTCTGTCGTACAACATAGTTTTGGGGCTGAAGGGCCCTTGTGCCTTTTTGCAGAAAAGCTGGGCCCGACGGGTCGCGGGTGGGGTACACCCGGGCTTTACGCTGGGGGTGATTGGGCTGGGTGCTCAGCAGGCCGCCCGGGCCCGGTCGTCGTCTCAAGCAGGACATCGCTGTAATTGTAGGACCATCCAAAAACATACCGAAAACCATCAAACGTTCATCTCCGTGTAGCATAGCATCCTCTCATCCATCCGATAATGTCGCGTCTAGCTCGGGCATCCAGCAGGATCACCAACAATACATCCTCAACTACCAGTAATACTCCAGTCCCATCGAACAACCTATCAACAGCAGCAGCGACGCGTCCAACGACCCGAACGAGAACTGTATCCACTCAATCAGCTGCTCCCACCCGACCACCATCAAGACTGAATCAGGTTCAAGCATCCGCAGCAACATCATCCTCATCCCGTTCAACTATCACTAGGAAAAAATCTAGTCCTGCTAGGCTGACCAACCAAAATGATCTGAGAAGAACAACTGCCGAGTCGGGAAACCAAGAAGAACTTCAGCCTACTCAAGGCCCGCTTCCGGGAGCAAACATCAAGGTGGTCGTTCGTTGCAGAGGCCTGACCGATTCTGAACGCGCTGCAGACCCCCAGGCAGTCCTATTAACCGGCGGAGTCAGAGGTCGTGAACTGACCGTAGACCTCAACAGTCATCCATCCTCCGCCGCGCCTTCCGACCAGCCTCATGCACGCCCCCATGACATTCACTCCAATCGCGACGAAGGGGCCGGCTTGGCAACTACTGATTACAGCTCCTCCTTGGTCGACGATCCAAAACGGAGCGCAAATATTAAAGTTTATCCATTTGATCACGTATTTGGGTCAGTCTCTCATCTTCTTTTTCATGGTTCCCGAATTCACATTAAAAACGCGAATCTGTTCCTGATCTCCCCTCGGGCATTATTATCCATCTACCCTTGACGCGTGAACACTCAGTCCAGAAGCAGACCAAGCTCTGATTTTCACCGATGTAGTGGCCCCGATCTTGACAGAAGTTCTGCAAGGCTACAACTGTACAATCTTTGCTTATGGCCAAACTGGAACAGGTAAAACGTGAGTAAACTATTCGAATTTTTGAGAAGAACCACAAGCAGAAGGTTGATTATCATACTACACAGATATACTATGACAGGTGATTTGAGTATCCCAACCGCCACCACTATCATGCCTACTACCAAAGCCGACTCTGGTCCAACATCCCCTCTGGGACAGAACTACGATTCCACTCCCCTGGTAATTCCGACCTCATTGAGAAAATTTACTAACGAGGCAGGGATCATTCCTCGCGTCTTACATTCACTATTCAATATGCTAGAAGATTGTAGCGAGGAAGAGAAAGTGGAATTTGGAGTTAAGGTCAGTTTTGTTGAACTGTACAACGAGGAATTGAGGGACCTCAACTATCTCGAATCGTCGAACAACCTGGAGGCCAACAACCCGCCCAGCGGGTCAACCAATCTCAAGATCTTTGAAGACTCTAATACTAAGAAGGGCGCCACGGGTGGATCGGGCGTGTACATCCAAAACTTGACCGAGACGGCGATTTCATCGGCCACGGAAGGGATTAAGATCCTCACCCTGGGTTCCTCTCGAAGACAAATCGCCGCTACCAAATGCAACGAACAATCCTCGAGATCGCACTCTGTCTTCTCGATCACGATCCATGTCAAGGAGAATAACAAGGATGGCAAGGAAGATCAACTCAAGATCGGAAAGCTCAATTTGGTCGACTTGGCCGGTAGCGAAAACGTGGGCAGGTCGGGTGCTGGGAAGGAATTTGGTCGGGCACGGGAAGCCGGAATGATCAACCAGAGTCTCTTGACTCTCGGTCGGGTTATCAACGCATTGGTTGAAAAAAATAGCCATGTCCCATACCGGTATGGTATCCATCATAAAGATGGAGCATTTGATCTTACCATACCCCAAAGCTTGTTGACTGACATACCTTGACCATCATTGCATCTTTCAGGGAGTCCAAACTGACTCGATTATTGCAAGATTCTTTGGGCGGCAGGACGAAAACATGCATCATTGCTACCGTCTCACCCTCACGTTTAAATCTGGACGAGACGATCTCGACGTTAGATTACGCGTTGCGAGCCAAGTCGATCAAGAATCGACCGGAGCTGAATAATAAGATCAACAAGTCGATCCTCATCAACCAATACGTCCATGAGATTGAGAAACTACGACACGACTTGATCGCGACTCGGACGAAGAATGGGATCTATTTCAGCGAAGAAAGATGGGCAGAACTGATGCGAGACTCGGAAAACAAGAGCCGGACGTTGATCGAGAGTAAGCGGAAGATCGAGCTGATCGAGCTCGAGTTGATCGGGGTCAAGAAAGAGTTCGAGAAGTGTCTCAGGATCTTGAACGTCAGAGAAAGTGAGATCAAGAAGATCCAAGACGAACTCAACCTCAAATCGGCCGACTTCGAGAACATGAAACAGATCAAGGAGGGCCTTGAAATCGACCTCTCTGAAGAAAAAAAGATGAAGGAAAAGTTCGAAAAGAGTCGCACGAAATGGAAAAATCAGTGTAAAGAAGTGTACGAGGATAATGAAGGCCTTCGAGAAAAAATTGGTAACACGATCTCCTAATCCTAATTTCCATCAGTCCTATAGTTTCGAGATGTTATTGCTGACGAAAACCGAAAGGGTTTTTTTTGTGATGAATTTGTTTCTTTTCGTTAGCTCGCAAGGCTGCAGTCGAATCGTACAATCAAAACACTTTGAACGAGGTCGATCAAAGTTTATCTTCAAGTGCTGCAAACCTGAAAAACGATCTCAAAGAGTTTGCTAATCAATCAAATCACATCAACAAAGGCGTCAAAAGTTACTTGAATGACATGGAACAACGTTTGGTTAAAGTTAGTCATCAATTCACTTTGCTCGAGGTATCGTCCGGACAGTCCTCATCCTAAGAAAGCAACTGTTAACACATTCCGTATCTGGTTGTGCGTCATCTCAAAAAAAAGAGTATGAAGAGTAATCAAAACTTGATCAATAATCAGATCGAAGTCGATTTGAAACAAATCATAAGTAACATAACAGAGTCGATGGGTGAAATTAACACTCAATTGGTTGAAAGTTTTGTGAAAGAAATTTGCGAGGACCTAGTGCCGAATGGCCTTGTGAAGGAGAATCAAACTCATCTGACTTCGATCATCCAGAAACTCGAACTAGACAAGTTTTCGAATATCCAATCGATTTTAAATCAGGTCAAAACAGATGTATGTTCATCTTTTTCATCAATATATTTATTTGAGTAAAAAAAAAAACTGAAGAAATCCACAATCTTTCACGTGTCTCAAAGGCTTTCAAGTTTCTACAAAGTACTAAGGAGTCTGTTCAAAGTTCGTTTGAAATTATCCATCAAAAGTTCGATCAGGATCGAGAGAAGATCATGAAATTCCACGAACTGGAGAAGGCTGAATTGAAAGAAGAGGTCTGGTCCACCTAATCCCTCTTTTCTCCATAAGCAAGTGAGAAGAGACTAAACGTGGATGGATGATTTTCGTTTTATTTTTCTAGGCGGCTCGACTGAAGGAAGAAATCGAACGATTGCGGCAACATAACCTAGAAGAAGAGAAACGAATCCAACAGGATGAGAAGGAGCTGATCGACTTGATCCAACGACAACATGCCTCGAACCTTAAACGAAAGATGACCCAGACCGACTCGTTGGTCCAATCTCTGGCTGAACTCAAAGATCGCAAGGATCGCAAAAGACTCAAGTTCAGTGGATTCGAGAAGGAGCTCGACGAGGATCGGGCTCAACTTGATCTCCAATTGAATGATACCCTTGGTTCTGCTAACGAACAATTGGAAGTCTTTGAAACTGTCAGCCCTTGCCCTTTTTCCTCCTACTCTCCATCCATCATAGTCCCGATCGGATTATTGATTAGGTTTTCTTTCTGATCGTTCTTCTATAGACTTTCCAAGAAGGTCAAGCTTCCTTGCTGGACAATCTGACCGTCGACCAACGCGAAAGGATCAACGCATACACCGCGCATTCAAGCAAGATGGAAAATCTGGGCCATACACTCGACCAAAACTGTGGAGAGTGTGAGTATATCTTCCTTCAAAATCAATTATTGCTCTCTGAATCCTTGATTTATATGCTGATTTTCAATCGAGTCATTTTGATGTATGCATACTAGTTGTGAAAGAGTTTAGGAAGCTCGATGAGGGTCTGCAGAGTGAAGTCGCCAAAATCGAGAATCAAGTGGTTGGCGTTTATCACCATAAATTGGTCTCCCAAATTAAGGAACAAGTTCAAACGGTCGAGGGCAGTGTCAAACACGTATTGAATGATGTATGTGACCATCAAACATGGTTTTTTTTTTCTGAGACTCATGGCCAAATTGAGATGATGTTAACATTATTATCTGTGTTCAAAAAAAAGGTTGAACGACAAGCGACGATGTCGAACAATTGTATTGATAAGTCATTAGAAATGGTCTCGGGTCTTCGGAACAACATCCATCTATATCTGACCAATGAGATCCGCCAAGACGTGAAGACGGGCCAAACACCTCGGAGGAAGAAGCTGCCGATCGAGGCGAATCCGTTACTGGAACAATCGAGTACGAGTCGGTTTATATCCTTAGAGGATGACTCTGGAGATTCTGGGCGAAGTAGTGCTGATGAGGGACAAGAAGAAGAAGAACAGGAGCTGGAAGAAGACGACGAAGAATACGATGATGATGATCGTGGTATTGGTGGGTCAGACGTTGTTGGAAGTGATAATCATCGCAGTAGTAGTGTTGCGACTCGATCCTCAAGAAGAGTCAAGGACAGACCAGAGAATCAATTATTGCACAGTGAAAAGGCAGAAAGTCAAGACGAGGAAGAAGGCAAGGATCATCATCATCCTCAAAATCATCTCGTCGAGTCTCGTCATCATCATCATCAACAACAGCCTTCTGCATGTCTTGCACTCGAAGATGCTGAAGACCATCAGCCTGACTTGGTGGTCAAGAATCCGAAACGAACTTCTCTCAAAAGGAAGAATCAGTTCTCCGCTTTGCCCACTCCCAAGTCTCGCTCTACTGGTATCTTGCGCGAGAAATCTAATCAAGCTGTGCGATAAATCTCTGGGAAACTTGTACCTCTCTTTCAGAATCTCATCCCTTCATTGATCTTGTATATTTATCGACTTATTTATTTATGTCCTCGCTAATTCCAATTGTTGTTGTTTAGTGATTCAGTTAATCTACTTGATTGAATTAATTGTCTCATACCTTTTTCTTTATCTAATCACAAACTCCGAACATTTCAGGCAATGTATTTATGAAAGAAAATAAAAATTCGAGGCCAGGTTACTATTTGTCAACATTTGTAAGCATGTAGCAGGTTCCAAAAAAACATTGGTCCAACCCAAACAAAAGTACTTAAATATTTTTGCTTTGACGATGTATAGAGAGGCAGATCGACAGTACTGCTGCTGATTACTGCCTCTTAACCTTCGCCAAACCTTTAAACTCAATCATTCCTCGGCCAGATTGTATCAATCAGGATGGTTTTCTCTTGTTATCGGGTTCCCTTGCTCCAGCCGGCATCTGGTGTACTGGTCACCCTCATCGACCTCCTTTACACTCTTCTCCATCAAACATCATTGTATGCCATCACCAGCAAAAAATACCTCTATCACTCAAAAGCGTCGCTCAGGCAAGTGGCGGGAGACCCCCTGTCTTAAGGTGTCTCGACTGCGAGTGAGTGTACATTGGTGCACGCGTGGCCTGTTGCAATTGTCAAGTTTGATGTCGCTGCGAAGACGCACAATCTTTCCACCCCATGAAAGAACTTGTTTTGCCTTCAGGAGTCTAACAAAGGACGTGGTTATCTGCCTTTTTTTTTGTGGCAGCATTCCCCCCCGCCACACACATTTCTCAATTCAAGATCTTGTTTGTCTTGAGGATGCTTTCCAAATTTCTCGTTTTGGTATTTTGCTCTATCTGGGCTACCGTTCATGGGGCTCATCTACCACTTGAAACTGGAATGGAGAGTAGTACTAGTAGTGCCAGGAGCAGGGATATTGGAATCAAATTTAGTGGTAAATACTACCCTTTCCATATCAATCAGTTACATTCACTGGTCATGGGATTGATATCAGATGCTAATTACAAAGCCCCCCCTCCCCTTCTTTATTTACCTGAATGGAAAACAAAACAAATTTTAAAGAAGATCTGATCATTCAAGAGCATGAAAGATTGCCGGAAAATCATGCACAAGTGGGTTCGGGATCAGATCCTGATGGTGCATTTAAAGAAGCAGAAGGTGAAAATCCAAGTCCTATAACTCACCATCAACTTGCAAATTTGGGGTTTGACCAGTTGGTTCACCGTTTCCCCCTCTTAAAGGCTTTCACTCCTCAACAAAGTGGGTATCTTATCATTCTCTGGTCATCATTTTCCCTCTTGATCATAAAACAGTTCAGCTTAAGATCATCATTCTCTTTTTGCAGCTGTTCAAATTAGGAAGACGTGGAAAGAAAACCATGGTGGGTGGTGGTCTTGATTTCCTTTTGATGTTTGGCTTCTTGCTGATTGTAGATGGTTGGACAAAAAAAAAACATGTTTCTGGAATAAAGAAAACTTGAGATCATTTTCTGAACAAACAAACAGGCTACAGGAAACTTTTGACTATTTTCAACATGTTCAACCACGTGACTACAATAATGCCAACACAAAAGTGAAGAGTTTCAAAGAGAAGATTAAAGTTCACAGATTGAACAAGAATGTGTTGGAGTTGGCAAGGTTGAAATTGTTGGAATTGGGAACTTTCAGTGAACCCCATTCATCTTTTAAATACATCAACAATCCAAAACCTTCAAAAAAGAAAACCAACCGGAAATTCACAAAATTACTCAAGCAACTTCCTCCAGAGCTCTTTCCATCAATTAGAGCTCAAAAATTCCAGAATTATATCCAATCCATTCTGAATGAAATCAAGGAAATTATCTGTAATCATCAACCCTACCATGATCCAATCACAGGTGATCCGGAAGAAAAATCAGTAGCAATGTTTGGATATTTATTTAAAACAATTGAATTGCTGTTCAAAAACAATTTCATCTTTGAGAATGATATCAAAGTATTGTTCCAAGAGGATAAAGTTCTCAAACTCTGTAGTATTTACTTTTTTTCATTCTTCCCAGGAAGGAATATCATCAGAAGCTAGGGAATGTGCACCTTCATTTGTTACGGATCAAGCATTTTGGAAATTTATCTTTACTTTTTTTGAGGGTGAGTTGATCCTTAATGATTCTTTCCATCTGCTGTTTTATTTTGTCTCAAAAGCTAAAATACATTTATACTCAATCTTTTGAACAAAAAAGTCCTTGATAAACAAGACAAATTGAGAATTGAATTTGAATTATTGGTTGAAAATCTGTTTTTGAAGGCTAATCAATTGGCAAGTTTTAAAGAATGGAATTTATTTATCAAATCATTTGGAACAAACAAGTACTTGAACCACTTGAAAGATGTTGATAAATCAGATATTTCAAAATCCTTGGTTGAAGAAAAAGGAGCAATTTCTTCAACCTCTGATGGAAAAGAAGATTTTACAGAAGATGTTGAAAACCTTGTCCATCTTTTCCTTGGGATTTTAAATGGCCCCAAGAAAACAAGAGAGTTATCTAGATATGTTTGTGAAATCTTAGATTTCATTGATAGGAATATCTCACCAGGAGTCCTAAATAAATCATTTATCAAACTAGGAAGTCCAAAATATCTCAAATTACAATTTGAATTAATATTGATACCTTCCAGAATGAAATATTTCATGCATATGGCATTGGAGTTTCAGTATGCGTGGGAAAGAAGACAGTCGGCCTTTGATTTACACTTTGTTGAATCAGTCATCATTGATTATCAAGACAAAGTAATATCTCTGCACAAAGAACTACTCAAAATCTACAGCAAGATTGAAAATGGTTATTATTTTTCCTTGTCCAATTGGTTAAAATACAATCCTCAATACTCCAAGCCTAATGATAAAGAATTTAACCATTGGCTCCAAGAGATGTCTGAAACTGTTGAATATTGTATTAATTGGAAGCACAAATAAAGGGAGTTGGTTAGACAACTCTCAAGGATTCGTCAACGACTCCCCAAATAGATTCAACTTGATTTATTTTTCTAGACATTTCAATTTTACAATCCCTGGAAACAAATCTGAAACCATAAAAAAGTCAAACTATTATAATCACATGCCAAGTAAATAGAAATGATAAAAAAAGACTGATACATACTAAGTAGAGTTGAGAGTGTTACCAGCCAAGAATTTGTCCAACCAAGTCCAGATGGAGTCAGTGGGGAGCTAGCCATTTTTTTCAAGCTCAACAATATGAGGGGGCAGCCAAGAGAGATAAGCCTGGAGGGCAACCAACAACAAGTTGTGTCACTCAAAGGGGATTGACAGGCTTTGAATTTCCAAGAACGGACTGGATGAGACTGGATGACTTGTTTGATCTGGCCAGTGCTGTTCCTTGTTGGGCCTGAGAATTCATGTGTTCTACATCCACATACCCAGCCCATCTTTGAGTGACTCCCTGAGTCATACAGACTATCATCAGAGACCGAGGTGCAGAGGGGTTGAATTGAGAGAGGTAGAGGGCAAGAGAGAGAGAGAGAGTTTTGATGAGCAACTGGCAATTTTGGCTGCGGATTGCAAAGCACAAGGTGCGGTGGGGATTGATGGGACGGGTGGTTCAGACAACTTTTCAGAAGAGTTTTATGGAGTTCCAGGAGCAATGATACTTGAGCTGTTCCCTCCTTCTCCGTTCTGTTGTAAGAGTGCCAAACGGAAGGTGGGAGGCCAAGGGGTGTCGAGGCATTACCAGGGCCAGGAAGCCGACAAGAATTGTCGCTGATGGTGAATGGATTATGGATAATTGACCGTTGGGTTGAAGGGGGAGGATGAACTGAGGATGCTGCTGCCACTGGACGGATGAGAAGCTCAACAACTGGCGCATGATCTGCGCTAGTTGGTTCTAGTTCTGAGTGCTTGACTTGGTCGGCGCTGCCAGACTGGTGTAATAAAAGTCAGCTGCGTGACGGGATAAGTTGTAGTTGGCACAAAGCTACCCGGCAGTTGGTTGCCCATCATGAAGCCCGACTGGTTGATCGTCTTCGGGGCCGATGGCTTGGCAGGCTAGTTGTCAACAAAATTCGCCGCTTGTGCCAGCGCGTCTCCGTTAATCAGATGGGCATCCGCACCGGCGTCCCTGAGTGGCCACCTTTTTTCCCTCATAGAGTTTGCTTTTAGATCAGCACCCACATGTACAAGCAGGAAGTAGAGGGTTACCTGAAAAAATCACCTTAAGTAAGAGAAGTTGATCAATTCATCTCTTGTTTTCATTCTATTATCCTTTAAAATTTATAATTTTGGATCAATTGTCAAACAGCACCAGATTTTCCCCCACAGGGCCTCAATTCCTTACTGCAATAAAATGTTGGAAGAAATATCTACCCTGTCTGTTATTTGCCATGCTGCACAATGAGTCCTCTTACAAGGCAAGACTTGAGACATTATCAGAACCACTCTCTCCAAAGAAATAACAATCCATGGTATGTTTACATTTCAATTCATTCAAGCTTCAATTTTAAATGACCTTTACAGAATATTTCCATTGTCCTTACATGATTTTTGAGGCAGACTTAAACAAGATGGGAATAGAAGTACTAGTAGTATAACTGGCTACCCTCAGAAACATGCAAAAAAGGTGAACCTATCCTGTTTAACCTTGATTGAAAAGGTGGCTTGACCTTGGCATGTGGGGATCCTTCTTTCAAGGGCAGAATGTGATGGTGTACTGGATGTAGATGAAACAATGAATGTAAATCAATGAATACTCAGAATTTAATTATAAACAAAGCAAAACTTAGTCAGTTTACTTACGTCTGCAGATTGATTGCAAGTCCAGAGCGCACTTTGGCTGCTTTCCTGTTGTTGTGAAATTGGATCAGGTAAATGTTTGATAATTGCGTCAGACCCTCACTAGATTGATATCCTTTCATATTTTGCCTCAGAAAATGAGTTCCTTACATCATAGGCATAAGCATAGGCATCTGGGCAGCCGCTGGAAGTGCCGTTATCAAAGATCGTCAGTTTCCGTTTGGTATGTATGCCGCGAAAATGAATTCTCCTTACTTCTTAAAAAAGTCATAGAATTGGACTTTATCCTTGGGACAGGTGTCCGCGGTGTTGTGACTGCCAGTGCAGCAGTTTGCTGAATCACCGTGGTTTCCATCCAAGTTTGCCTGTCAGAAAATTCAAATAGAATCATTTGTCTTTTAGGATCTGAAGTAGACTGAAATTGACGTGGCAATTTAATTCACAAACCTGACAGGCTGAAAGACACCCAATGGTTACCCCACTACAGTCGACTCCCTATTAAGCCATACCCCTTGGTGGACATGTTTTTCTATGGGTTAAGGGAGAGTATGGGTTAATAAGTCAAGTTTCTAGGCATTTTGCTCACTTTGGTGGACCAATTTCCTAGAAAAATGTATGGCTTAAAAGGGGTTATGGGTTAATAGACCATGGTTTAAGAGGGAGTCGACTGTAGCATCTTTCACTTTCATTCGATCATCGGGACACCCAGGGTTCAAATCCGTCTTACAGGAGGGAGTCGGGCAGCCTTTATTGTTAGTGATGAAGACAGGAAGGTTGCTACCGTCGACGTTGGAAACGTCGTAATAGTCCTTTCCGCCATCACCATTCAACTTGAATTCAGCAAGGGTTGCCGGGGCTGAAGACAAAGAAAGTTGAGTACTAAATTAATCTTCGGGAAGCCGTCAACTTTGAGGGGATCACTTACGAACACCCGAACCAGTGGCTGAATCGCACACTAATCCTCCGTTACAACCTCCGGTCTGAGGAAATTGTCAAAAAAAATGGTGTTAGACATGGACATCGCGACATGTTGATGGGGGGCTTGATGACTCACCGCACACAAGGTGGGCCCAGTTTTGGAGAAGTTGCAGTTCCTTCTTCCCCAGAACCTCCCCGCCCAACCATCGGGAACGTCGACGCTCTTTTGTGAAGATCCTTGAGCTTCCCAACCAGCGGGTTGACTGGTGATTTTAGCTGCTCCACAAGAGAAATACAAAAATGATCAGTAAAACAGAACATTGTTGCAAAATAATGTCATCACTCATAAAGTACTCACCAGGAGAGTCAGGGTTTGTAAAATACGCCGGCCCTGTGTATATATATATTCATTGGAAGAGAACGCAAGGGGATGAGTAATTCAGATGCTCGTCAAATCAGGGGGGGGGGGGCTTGAAAAGCAACTCAACAAATCGTAAAGGGGCAGTTATTTTGGATGGTGAAGGTTCTTGCCAGGCTACTGGAAGCCAAGAACAACTGGGCGATCATAATACAAGCTTGCTTCATTTTGAAGTTGGATATAAACTGAGTCTGAAGTAGGAAGAGTTGTTCTTTGTTACAAGTATCAAATGTTTTAGGCTTACTACAATTGGATGGTGAATGAGATGGAAAATTGAGAGCAAGGATCAGCCTCTCTTTATGCAAAAAATTCTGCAACTGCAACGGGAACCTTTCTGGGGCACTTTCCCCTTCATAGCGGGACATGCCCCATATTCCACAGAATCAGATGCCATGGAAGCCAAGCTTGTGTATTCCCAGCCAACCTGCCATAGAATTGGACCATCACCGGTGTCAGACTTCTTGTTTACACAGCAGGAAATTGAACTTTACACCGGACCCAGGCAACAAATCTCTAGAGGTGCTTACAAATGCATGTGGTGGTTAATGCCTCACTGTGCACCCCATCGGATTCTTTTACTCCAAGGCTATCACCGGTGAAGACTCCTAATTGGTAACACAGCAGGAAATTGAACTTTACCCCAGACCTGTAATAATTCACAGAATCCGATGAGGGAGAAGCTGTAGTTTGTTTTTTACTTGACTTAGTTATGACACACGACGAGAACACTTTTATCACCACGATAAAGAAACACACCTGTAGTTTGTTTTTTACTTGACTTAGTTATGACACACGACGAGAACACTTTTATCACCACGATAAAGAAACATACCTGCGTAATGCAGTATATGTGTGATCGATGAGTTTTTATGTATGAAGGACGCAAATGGGTTTTGGACAATGATCAGTCTTTTTACTTCACTTGTTATTGATATTGTTGCGTGAATAAAGAAAAACATTCTGCATAAAAGAAGAAAAACAATATAGTAAAGAAAAGATTAAGCGAACCTGTAGTTTGTTTTTTACTTGACTTAGTTATGACACACGACGAGAACACTTTTATCACCACGATAAAGAAACACACCTGAAAGTTGAATATGGAAAAATTGAATGAAAAGTTAGGAGATAGATAATAATGATAACGCGAATGAAAAATAGAGAAACATTCATACCTGCGTAATGCAGTATATGTGTGATCGATGAGTTTTTATGTATGAAGGACGCAAATGGGTTTTGGACAATGATCTAAAAATGGAGAGATAAAGAAAATGATAAGATAGGAAAAAGAAAAATTAGTTATTGTCGTTGATTTGATTTGTTGAGGTTTTGGATGAAAGGGGGAATACGTACCAGTCTTTTTACTTCACTTGTTATTGATATTGTTGCGTGAAGAAAAAGACTGGTATACTGGCGGGGGTTGTTGTCGGTTTTGATGTTGGGCGGTTCTTAGGGTTAGGTTTGTATGCGAGTGACAATTGGATGTTTTGCTGCGTGATTTCATTTCAAAAACGGAAAGCGCAGTATAATTCAACAAGACCGAGGCAACAAAACTCTCAAGGTGCTTACAATTGCACGTGGTGATGAATGCCTCACTGTGCATCCCATCGGATACCTTGACTCCAAGACTAAAATAACAAGCAGGAGATCTATTCCCGCAACACCGCAGTTACACAGCGCTGTGGCTCGCGCATCCTGCAGGCCTCAATTTCCTTCCGGCGCCCGTTGAAGCGACGCGGGAAGGTGTAACGGCAGGTGTCATCTCTTGACCAGCAAAACGTGCTGAATTGGTTACCCCGGAACTTTTTGTCTGTTGGCGCTCAGGAGCTATATAGAGCGATATATCCGGGTGTGTTACGTGTGGCCGCTGGGCAATCTTTTGACATTCGGCAACACCGACCAGTTCGAGCAAGCCGACATACACCCAGGAACTGATCAATCATTGCAGCAAATGTCATTTACCCTCATCCACCCTCTCTATGTTGTATGTACACTGTCTTCTTCTGGGTCTTACTTGACTCCTCTTCAAGTCTCGTTACACATCACAGCTTGCCCTCATGCTTACCCGGAGACACCCCGGAAGTGAAGGTAACCAAAAGTGCTCTTGTGCATCCACAACAAGGGCTAGGAGGGAGCTTCAAATATAAACCCCCCCCCCCCCCAGCACTTCAAAAACAACGCTTATGTACCCAAAGCCTCAATCACGGCAAGTATTGGTGTCATACCTTGCAGTCCTCTAGAGTATGTTGGATTGCCCCTTGAAAATGACCACTACCGGTTGACAGGAGGCTTTCGAATCCGTGGTTTTTGAGTCTATCTCACACAGATTGAAAGACTTTTATCAGTTGATAGGAGACGGTCGAAACCATGATTCTTGAATCTATTCCACATGAAATCAAAGAGGCAGCATCTGGGCACATATATACACCGTTGTTATTTAACTTCAATCGCCACTGGTGAATTAAGTTTCAAAAGTTAAAAGATCAAGAAAATTCGATGAAATATGCACCTTCTAGTGTTGAAGCTAGGCTTAGGGTTCCAGAGGAAAGTGGGAAGGTTCCAAATACTAAAACCAGGATGACAATTAAATCCAACTACAATTTATCTAAAATCAAAACGCTTTGGGATCATGAGCCTGTGCATTGCAGACAAGTAATACCAGGCGAGAATAGGAGAACTTTCCGCTTGTTCCCCTGCAACAGGTGGATTGTCGAAGCAGTGTCGTCTGATGAAGCTGCACAGCAACTTAGCCAACTACCAGCTTCAATTCATGTGGTTGTGGTCCCCAAGCTAGTGGCCAGGTCACAACTTCAAAAATTTATCTTGCACGGATTTAGCAACCAATACGGATTTGCTGACAGATCCAATTGAGGGATTACAGAAACAAATAAGTCTCTGAATCTATAACAGTTGGTAAGCAAAGGGTGTAGGGTGGTGATGATTACTTTTGCACTTGGTGGACCCTTGAATGATGACCAGAACTGGTCGCGTGCGAGTTTGGGGTTCATTGCTTGAATCCCAAGGGAAGTGGGAGTCATGAACGCAATTTCCTATCTGATCTACCGCTTATCAATAAGAAACAAAGCGGTAGGCATTCAAACACCTCAGCTCTCCGGGTCGCCGAGGACTATTCCTCTTGGCCGACTTAGTCACTTTCTGCCGGATGCGCTAGGAGGAATCCTCCTCAGCAATCGGATGGTGCAAAATTAAGATGAAAGTGCCTAAATCCTTAAGTGATGAAGAGTCTCACTTGGAATTGGCTAAATATAAATGACAATATTTGAACAGAAATTTTTGTTAGGACTTGAGGTCCTGCCATTAACTGAGCCCACCTTCAGACCCCCCACAACATGCAATTTCCGTCAACCCTGGAGGGAACCTGATTCAAACAACTCTGGATTTGATTGCGCAGGATATTTGAAACAGATTGCAAGAGCTCCTATGAAAATACGTGAAAAACTTATCATTAGGCCAAGAAATCATTCCAAACGTGATCATACAACACCGTACGCAGTTTCTCTGGTTGTTTGCCTGAGATCAATATGAAGCGTGCAACTTCGAAGGCAAGGCTGTAAGCCAAGGTTACCCATCAGCTGCAGCTGAAACCTCTCACCGATTCAAACTGAAACTCTTCCAGGATCATTGTATTGAACACCAGCAAAAAACCTCACTCGCCGGCAGGTACCACCGATGCTAATGACCTCACCGGGGGCTCTGGGGACCTGTGCTGCGTGTCTGCGTGTCTTGCCTGCGAACAAGCTTTTGCAAATGTCAAGTCTGTCGCCGCGAAGATCCGACTGGATTGCAGGTGTATAACATTCCAAACCCTGCAAAGACATTTACTTGACTATATAAGCTCACTTCTTTTCAGGGTAAATCACACGTGCCCCCCATCCCAATTTTCCCAAATCAAAATCTTCTGGCGTACAGAATGTTTTCGAGGTTTCTGGTGTTGGGATTTTTCTCAATCTTGGCAAGCGCTACGACATGCGGGGGTAAACTGCCACAGGAAGCTGGAATTGAGGGTAGTACCGCAAGAGATGTAGTAGAATTTGGTGGTGCATAATCTTTCTTTGAGCATGATTTTACAGCTCAGTATTAGTAACAAACCTCCTTTCTTCACCTGACGTTTTAGAACGCAACGAAGGAAACCTGATGATCCCAGAGCATGAAAAATTGGAAGCTCATTCCAAAATAGATTCAAATTTAAATGCTAAAGGTCTCGATGAAGAAGGAGAAACTCCAGATCACAATCCCGGTGCATAGTCTTTCTTTGATCAAGGTTTTATAGCTCAGTATTAGTAACAAACCTCCTTTCTTTACCACATGGCTTTTTAGAAAGCAAAGCAGGGGACTTGATGATCCCAGCGCATGAAAAATCGGAAACTCATTCCAAAATAGATCCAGATTTGAATGCTAAAGGTGTCGATGAAGAAGGAGAAACTACAGATCATAATCTCACGTATTACCAACAGATGCAAGAAGCCAGCTTGGAACAGTTGGCTGAACATCGCGCCCTCTTACAGATTTTTAATCTTCATCAAGGTTGGATAATTTTATTGATCTCTTGTGGTCCATTTTTCATGGAATTTCATGGTGGGACTAACCTTAATTCTATTGACAGCGGGTCAAATTGAAGAAAAATGGAAAGAAAATGAATGTGAGTTTAAAAATATTCTTTTCACAGAATTTTGCACTTTTTTTTAAAGAATTAAAAGGTTGATGATGAGTTGTTTGACTGAAAAAAAATTAATGGAATTGAAGCATTGGTGGTATGGCTTGGTATGCAAATTGCCATTCTCAAGAGAGATTTCACAGAATATTCAAATTTTCCAGCACATGAGTACAATGGTGAAAACAGGGAAATAAATGAGTTTGATGAGGAGAAGGAACTGAATGAATTACACAAGAAAGTATTAGAACTGACAAAGTTGAGGCTCTTGGAACTTGGGATGTTTGATGATTTTCCTTCAAAATTGGAACTGGTTGAGACATCAAGACCATCCAAAAATACCATCAATAAAAGATTCAACAAACTGCTCAGAAAAATTCCCTCAGAGCTCTTTCCATCAATTAGAGAACTCAAATTCAAAAACTATATTCAATCCATTCTAGATGGAATCAAGAAGATAACCATTGGACATAAGATCTACTACAACCAAGTCACTGCTGAATTGGAAGAAAAAGGAAAGCTGAAATTTGATTACTTATTTCAAACCATTGAGTTCTTATTGAGAGATCATTTTATTTCTGAAAATGATCTGAAAACCCTGTTTCAAGAGGATCACATTCTCAGAAACTTCAGCATTTACTTTTTCCATTCTTCCCAGCAAGGTTTCTCATCAATGGTTAAGCAATTGACTCCATCATTTATTACCGATCAATGCTTTTGGAAATTTGGGTTCAGCTTTTCTCAAGGTAAGTTTCTCCTTGAAACTTCTCCATATTTTTCAACCGTTTTTTGTTGTATAGAAGCTAAGATGATATTGTTATTGTTTATTTTGTAAAAAAAAACAAGTTCTTGATGAAAAAGACAAAGTAAGGATGAATTTTGAACTGCTGATTGCACATTTGTTTTTGAATGGTAATAGATTGAGAGGCTTCCAAGAATGGGATTCATTTGAAAAATCATTTGGAAGAAAGAAATACTTGGATCACTTGAAAAATCCAGATCGATTGAAGCTTTCAACCTCCTTGCAGGTTGAAGGAAAAGAAGAAGTTCCTCCAAGCTTGATTGGAACAGATCAAGAATTTTCAGGAGACGTCAACAACCTTGTCAAACTTTTCCTTGCCACATTGAATGGGCCCAAAAAAACAAGAGCATTATCTGGTCTTGTTTGTGAATTATTGGATTTCATCAACATCAATATTTCCCCAGGAATCCTGGATAGATCGTTCAAGAAACTAGGAAGCTCAAAGAATCTTCGATTACAATTTGATCTCATTTTGATCCCAACCAGGATAAATTATTCGATGGCCGTAGCAATGGAATTCCATGACATTGCGGAAAGAAACGGGTTGTCATTAGCTCCCAAAGTGATGGAATCAATTTTCATTAGTTATCAAGATAGAGTGATCTCTTTGAATAAAGAATTAATCAAAGTCTACAGTCAACTCAAAAATCGCTATGGTTTGCTGTCCAGTTGGTTAAAACAAAACCCGGAATATTCCAAGATCAATGAGAAGTCTTTGAACCAATGGCTCAAAGCTATGACTATTATCATTGAAGAGTGTGCTACTGAGGCAAAGGAACTCGATAGGAGAATCCAAGCTGCTCATGGAATAGCTCATTAGACTCACTTGAAAAAAGAAAACTAAAAAATTATTCCATCAATTCTCATCCTTTCTATAATTGATCTACTACAACAAATTTCTTCCATAAACTCACTAGCTTTTTGTCCTCCCCTCCCCTTTAATCGTAAATATTTGATGTTCCTTATAAGATCCCACAGCTTCAGACAACTGTCAAGAATCACATTGCAAGAAAGCTTCATACAGAACATCCAATAATCATTCGTTACAAATGTGTTATTTCCTCTTTCTTCCAATGTTTTCTCAAAAAGAAAAGAGGAATTGTTTTTGATCTCATTTTTTAAAAAAGAAAAGAAAGCATTATAGCTGATCCAGTACATAGAGGCCTAATCAAGTTTCCCACACCTTACAGCATCCCCAAGGGGGGGGGGGGGGGCTAGCTTAACACAAGCCCATCCATTTGTAGGGCCTGGTATTGCCTGGCTGGGGCAAAGCTGAGTTGCCCAGGACTGGCAGTGCAGAGCACCCGAAATCCAAGCATCTCCCACCCCAAAGTTTTCAACAAAGTAAGATTATGAGATGAAAAGGTGAAGGGAAGCTTGTAGCTGAGCATCTCATGTTCAATGCAGTATCATCTTCTCCCTACCTACACTTGAATGCAAAACCTCTCAGCCCCCCCCCCCCCCCCAAAAAAAAAAAAAGTATAACCTGCAAGTCCCTTCTTTGGGGGAGGTTATAAATGCTACCAGGGCCCTCCAAAGGTGTAAGCCCCCCCCCCCCCCCCAAGAAAAAAAAAGTATAACCTGCAAGTGCCTCCTTTGGTGGAGCCTTATAGAATGCTACCAGGGCCCTTTAAAGCTGCAAGGGCCTTGAGTCAAGTCAACAGAGTCTGACGAAAATACATATTGTCTTGTCAGAGAAGCTTGGCCCCTCATGAATATTTTGTTTGTGTTTGTTACCCTGATTGCAAACAAGAGCTTTGATAAGCCAGCGCTCTTCCCAGATCATCCCCGCCGGACATAGTGAAGATGACCCCATGCAACCACCTGCGCACATCCCCCTCCCCCCTCTGCTCCACTAAATGGTCGTCCACCAAATCTCTCTCTTCTCTAAATATATTTCATAACCTGCAACGAAATAAATGAATTTTGCGGACAAGACTCGAATGAACTGAACCGAGTCAGAACAAGTGCCAAACAAGAAAAAAGAGAGAGAACGACTGAACGAGAGAAAGTACAAGCCAAGAGAGAGAGAGAGATAAAAGTTATTTCCAAAGGCCCCATTTCCGGACGACGTCGACGGCCTTGAAGCCGCCATCGGCGAGCTGGTCGATGTTAAGGATCTCAGCGAGCGAGATCCAAGGATCTCTAGCGCCGCCGAACTTGAGCAGAGAGTGTTTGAGGCGCTCTCCGTTGGCCCTACTAAGCTGATCATTATGCGGGGAGCCGGGGGCCAGAGGAGGGGTAGGATTTGGATCGAAGAGGGTGGCCCAGATCTTCTGGGCGATCACCCGGTCGAAGAGGTACGAATAATAGCTCGCCCCGTAGCCATAGAGATGGCCGAACCTAGCATGCCAGCGATCGGAGCCTGCGTCCTCGGAGAAGGCCGAGGAGGAAGCGGGCTCGTATTCTCGGACGACGCGTTGGTATTCGAAGGTCGAGTCGAACGCCGGACTGGCGACGATCTCCGAGTGGAAAAGCTGGTCCAAGACGGCCAGCTGGAGCTGCGAATAGGTCTCCGTCGCCCGCATCATCCCCGCCTCGCTGCCCGCTTGGAAATCCGCGAACCCGGTGACCATCCCTTCCACATCTCTGATCTGATCATTCTTGTGCGGGTCTGCTTGGTTGCGGATCAGCTGCCTCAGCACCGGCTTCGAGCGCGCGAAATGCTCCATCAAAATCGACGGCAATTCCACAAAATCCGTCGGACATCTAGTTCCCGAAACGTTATGGAATTCGGTCTGACCGATCATTGCTTAAAAGGTTTTGACCATGAAAAGATTAAGTTAAAAAAAAAACCCCCCGGAGTGAAACTTGAGAGAGAAAGAAAGGAAAGAAAGGGGGCTTACAATGAATCGCATGGCCCATTTCGTGGAAGAGCGTTTCGACCTCAGACCAAGCCAAGAGACTCGGCTGTCGATCGATGAGATTAGGGGGTTCGAAGGTACAACTAAAGACGACTACAGGGCGTTGATAGGTGCCGATTTTACCAGGGATTGGGGAGACCGGGACTTGCAAAGGCTCTGAGCGAAGTGGATCGGGGAAGAGCTGATCGATGACGGGTCGATGGGGGTCATCCAGGAACTGGAAATCGAGATGGGCTTGGTCGAGATCGGTTCTGCGCGAACAGCGGACGGTGTAATGGGCGGCCCCGGAGGACTTGTCGGGCCGATCGAAGAGGTCGCAGTAGATGGTCCCGATCCTCCCTTCGGCTTCGTCGATCACCGCTAGCTTGACTACCAGCTCGTCCCAGACCTCTTCGGGCCCTTGGGGCGCTTCGACCTCGAAGGAGATCCCGTAGATCTGCGAGAACAGACTCGAAAGAGTCTCCAGACAATTGCCGACTGAGAAGCGCATCTTGGCCGCCGGATTTCGCGCAGATTGACGGGAGGCTACTAGCAGTTGGGAGTAGTAGTCCCGGTCCCAGGGATGGATAGGGTCCTTGCTTCCGGGGGGCATGACCTGGCGAAGTCTGCGGGATTCTTCTTGGACCAGAGGTCGGGTCTCTTGGGCCAAGCCGTCCAAGAAGCGACGGACATTGGCGGGTGAGCCGAGCATCTTGTCCTCCAAAACGACCTCGGCCCAGTTCTGTTTCCCGGTCAGACGGGCGAATTGGTAGCGTAGTTTGAGTAAGGATTCGAGTAGGATGACTTGGGTGTCTGGACTCTGTCGTTGGCTCAGCCAGATCCGTCGTCGGACGGTCGCCGAGGGATGGTAGCGTAGGAGCGCATGGGCCGGCCATCCGTTCGGCTCGATCAGCGCCCGCCCCTCCTGTCCGTCAAAGGCGAGCGGCTCCGGGCCGATCATCGAGCCGATCTGACGCACCTCCTCCGCCGTCGTCCAGGTGCTGCTGCTGCTCCCTTCCTCCTCAGCCCCTCCACTCGAACAGGCCCCCGCAAAGAACATCCGTCCAACCGCCATCATCTCGTCGGAGATCTCGACCAGCTTCTTCCGCTCTCGCCCGCTCAGATCGATCCCATGCCGTTGGAAGTCCCGGATGAATTGTTGGGCTACCGTCTTGGCGGCCACCAGCTTGGGATCGTCGTCTTTGGAGACTCGAGCGAGCGTGAAATCGAGGGCCTAATAAATAACTTTGCTCGACGAGCGGAAAGATCAGAATGACGATCATGTATGTAGACAGCGATCGGAGGCACATACATCGTAGAGCTCCTTGTGGGTGTTGAGGGTGTTCATGTATCTGGAGAGCAACTGATGGGCCTGGTTAGCTGCGAAGACCCATTCCTGGTGGGGATGCAAGTTGCGGATGGACTCGGCGAGGTCGATGACCCGACAGAGGACGTCTGAGAGCCGATCGAAGGCGGTGATGGAGTCGAGGAAGGCCTGTTGAGGAAGCTTGGGATTAGTATTATGATGAGGAGTGAATGAGTGGACGATCCGGGAGACGATGAGTCCGGCCCGTCGGAGGGTCTGTTCGGATAGCCTGATGAGCTCCTCTGGATGGCTCAGTTCGGGATAGCCCAGTAGGCCTGGGGGGCGTTGCTGGAGTGTGTTGTTCTTGGTTCGCAGCCATGGTTGGTCGAAGCTAGCTCTGATATTGGTGGTAAAGTGTCTTCTTCCTATTCTGAGTAGCATCTTCTTGTTCTTTTTAGGATGATGAAGGCTTATCGGGACAGACGGGATGGCCAACGCCAGTCGATCCAAGACAAGTACTCGATCCTCGGCTTCATCTCCTCAGGAACCTACGGGAAAGTATACAAGGCACAACCCAGGAACAACAACAACACCACTGTAGTAGCAATCAAGAAATTCAAACCAGGTAATCAAAACAAAACAAAACAAACATCAGAAAACAGATACTAACTTAATCTCAAATATAAACAGACAGGGAAGGCGAAGTCTCATACACTGGAATCAGTCAGAGTGCCTGTCGAGAGATCATGGTAAGCTTCTACTCAAAAAAAAAGAAAAACAACAACAACTAACAATAAAACCCCATCAACAGCTCAACAGAGAGATCCAACACGAGAACCTGACTGCCCTCCAAGAAGTCATGCTGCAAGACAAGTCGATCTACCTGGTCTTCGAATACTGCGAACACGACTTCCTAGT